GGGCTCCACCACCATCCTGCTGGCGGCCGCGGCCTGAAGGGCATGATCAAAAGCTCCGCGATATAAACGTGGGACCAATGGACACCCCGAAAAGGTTTGAGATCTTTCACGGGAAAAGTTGGCCATCAAAACTGGGGGCACTAGCTGGAATTTTGATCAACCCCCATCGTATGTACGTATGTACTGTATGTATGCATATCTATATGTATGCTACTCCTCCCCCCCAATGGACCCTGGCTTTGCTGCCTTTTGGGATGGTAAATCTAGAATCTCGAGATTTAAATTCTCGAAATTTCCAATTGTGGGTCCCCAAAGCCTCATGGGAGTCCTCCGAAATGTCCCAATATGATACCCTTTCCAAATAGGATTCTACTCCAACTAGAATTGGAATTTTGAATATAATTTGGTTGGGATATAGTTTTCAATAATGTGTTTATGCTTAACATTGCTCATCTACAGCTTATATAAGCAACTCCTTTCCAAATAGGAGCTACCTGAGAATATAAGTATAGTTTCGGGCAAACTCCAACAAAACTTTAGCAAAAGACGTAAGATAGGAGTGTATTCCCAAGCATAATCTAAGCGTTAGATATAATCTAATACGAACACAACTCAATTAGCTTTTGATAACAACAATTCTAGCTGAATCAGTTGTATTTAAAGTTCATTTGCACAGGAAAACAAACATCATTCTATCTCAAAAGGTGAAGGTAGTAGATGAGCAAACGTGGAGTGGTAGTTCAAGAGGGGGGGGGGGGTGACGGTGTGTGAACAAACATACATATGTATACATATATACCTACATACACACTAGTACCCCCAATGATCCTGCGCCTCTTTATAAAATACTGTAAAATACAGTGGTTTCAAGCATTACACCTGCCCTTGTTTACCTCCTGGAAAAGGGTCAACATGCTTCATAGATTCATAGCTAACATGAAACAAACCGCTCACCAAAAACACTTGAAAGTTTGTCTAACTAATAACTTGAAAGTGTTTCCACTGGATCGCCAAGCACTTGAAAGTGTTTTACTACTGGATGGAAAAAACCAGATTGAAGATTACACAGACAACTTTCCTGATAATTGTCGACCCTGGCCAAACCCAAACATCATTCAAGTTCTTCTCACACTTGAAAGTGCTTTACCACTGGTTTGAGGATTCAATATCGAGGATTGCACAAACAACAGCAAACCCTAAAAATGATCAAGTTGTTCTAAAACTTCGAAAGTATTTTACCACTGGATTGAAGATTCGAGATTGAGATATTTCACGGAAAGCTTTTCCGAGAGTCTTATTGAACACCGAGAGTATTAGAACAACTCATGTTCTTTAAAACAAATATGGGATTCAAGATTCAAGATTCCCAGAAAGTTTTTTCTCAGATTCTTGAATCTTGAATCCATACATTTTTAGGACGTTAAAAAAATAAAAATATCTGGGATTTCAGATTCAAGATTCAAGATTCCCAGAACATATTTTCTCAGATTCTTGAATCTTGAATCCAGGATTTGATTTAAAGTTTTTAAGTTATCTGAGTTGTTCTAGTACTCTTGGATGTATTCAAACTCTTTCAGATTGCAGAGCTGATGTCATCGCTTTTGTCACATATGTATGCGTGCATGCATATCATATATATATATATACACGTGGCACACCCCTAATTTTGACACAAAATCCAAGAAGCAAAAAAGGCACAACATACTGGACAACTACAGGGCAACCGCACCAAACCAGGGTCCATGGGGGGGGGTACCATATATATATATGCAGAGGTTTTTGGCCAGAGCTCAGGTTTTTGGCCAGACTGGGGGGACTCTGAAGTGAATTGACAAGACGAGCGAGGCAAAGTCCAACCAAGCAAGAGTTAAGCTCAACGTTGAAAGGAGTGACCTGCTTGAAAGTCACATTGGCGTGTGCGAAGTGCTTTTGAAGTCTCATTGGAGTATGCGAAGTGCTCTTTGGCAGCCCCAGCTCAAGAATCACAACTTTTCAGCACAAGAGTAGTGCGCGAAGGATGCTTTGACAGCTTCATTGATCTATTATTTGGTTTTATGAATTTTGTTTGACAAGGAAATTCATCAAATCATCAACTTGGGGGAATTGAACTCAATCCTACTTGCAACTGACATCCAAATCAAATATGAAAGTGCTTCACGTCCTGGCGCAGTTGCATTTTCATGTCAGTTCAATTTTGTGTGCACAATTCCACTGACTTTCAATCCAAGCGTAATTATGTCAAACTTGCAAGGCTATCTCATTTGTGTGTTGCTTGTCTAATACGATTCAGTTATTGTCAATAACAACTATTGACATGTAAACATACGAAGGATATCCAGTTAAATATGTTTTCGAGTTCAAACCAAAAGTTTAACTTCAATTGGTTGCAATTTCTTTTGTTCATTTGAACTGGAGCACACAGCTATTGTCATAGCCAGGTAAAGCTGGAATCAAGCTCAATCTCATAAGGGTTATTGTCCTTATCTAGCTCCATGTGGTTTTAACCAAGCAAGAAATGAGCCAAGCCAATAACAGAAACGTATTTTCAATCATGGATCTTACGATTGTCGTACAAGGCTGTAAAAAAACGCAGTGTTTTTAGCATTCGCTCAGATCATGTTGCCATGGATCGAAGGCTGAATATGCAAGATCACGCATACATCGTTTTCTGTCATTCTCAATCCTGGCCCCCAAAAAGCTTGATCCCGCACGTGCCTGGATTAAGCTCGAACATTCTCTTACAACTCTTTCTGAACTTAAAAAAAAGGAAACAAAAACAAAAATAAACATGTACTTAGGACAATCCAGGATGTGCTAGCACGTACTAGCATATATTAGATTGTCTTAAGAATAAATTTCGTGTCCAGAAAAGGTGGTCTGAAATTCGTAAAACTTCAATCTTCAATCCAGGATGTGCTAGCACGTGCTAACACATCCTGGATTGCCTTAGGTACAGATTTGCAAAAGTTCACAAAGAGTTGTCAGAATCTTCAATCTGCAATCCAGCACATCCTGGATTGCCCCAATCATGGATTTGAAGAATCCAAAAGGCAGACAAGGACCAAGACTCAAATTGTGGATGTGCCGCATCAGTTTTAGAAGCTGGAAAGTGCATTCTACCAGAATTTGGACAGCAACATGTTTGTTTTTGGAGCACGCACCTGAGTTTTCCAGGCGGGGTACCATATATATATATATATTATTATATATACACATGTATATACACATTTAAAACACGAACAAGAAAACACACAAACACACACACACACATGGAAACTACCCCCCGCATTTTTATTGCCAGGAAAGTCCTGGATGAAAGGACTCCCCACGCAAAAAAGGAACCCCGTAATAAGTGAGCCTGGATCGCCAAGCGACATAACAAACCATGGCTGCCCCCCCTCAAAGCGAACATGATTCAGGGTTCTCCAAATCAGCTTTGGGGTGGTTTCCCTGGAAGCCACCTTTTCTTAGCATCAGTCACAGCAACTGGCGATCCAGGCAGCTTTTAAAGGGAAAATCAGATAACAGACGGCGGACTGTCGTTTGTTATCTCATTTGCCCTTTAACGGCTGCCAGGATCGCCAGTTGCTGTGACTGATGCTTGGGTCAAGTGTCAACAAGCATGGTTTTTAACCTGCTCTTTTCGGCGGGGATGACGCATCATACCCTAAGAAAGGTGGGTATTTCGAGGTGGGTAATGTTGACCTCAGATTCATTGAAGACCTTGACTAGTTGTGTTTGGCGGGCGCCACGAATGCTAAGTCACATGCCGACTATTGAATATGGCAAACAAGACGTGACCCCCCAATAGCAGACTGATTCCTCTTGATATGAACCCAGGCCCATCCTGGCCTGGGGAATGGGGAACGAGAGTCCGCAGATTGAATCTGGCAGGAGTTGCACCCCCCATCAGGTTGATGAATCCGAAATCAACAAGACGGAACCTTACTAGAGCCCTGGAACACCGTTTTCCTTGTCATTTTGCCTCCGGTGGGTTCCATCTCTTCTCCAAACGAGTTGTGAAAAGATTAGACTAAAAAAATGGACCCTCCTCCGAATCTCTGGCATCCGCGTGCCCCCAACAACCTTTTGGGCGGGCCACGCGGCTTCCATGTCGACGGTGGGTCAAGCTGCAGGTCCTGGACAACAGCACCCGGATCCACGGGAAGCCGCGGACCGCAGCATCCGAAGGGGTTGCTGGTGGCGGCTTCCTTTGGCCGCTGAGTTTGGCTGGTGCTCAGTAGGGGAATGCGTCGGAATGTACCATCCATAAAACCATCCATAAAACCATCCCACTGCTGGTTTCCCTTGAAGGAAATCCCAAGCTTTCGTGATGTCAAGCCGCTCCCATTGATAGGCCCTTGGAAGAAATGGTACGGTTCTATTGAAATATTTATCGTGCAACAGTACTGTTGTGTATTAATCTAAAGAGAGTTGCTTGATATCTCAACAATTGCAGCCATCCTTGGCGGCAGAATCTCCTAAAATGGCCAATGAGGCGCGCGTTGAGACTGAACGGGCGTAACTTAAAATAGGGGCTCACCCGTTTTTGCTTTGGGGGTTCCCTTTGAAACAACCCACAAGCTTCCGCTCCCCCTCGCCTCTCTTCAACATGACTTGTGCACTCTTTCTTCCTTACAGCATGGTGCTTGAATCCAGAATGCTACCTCAACATCAATGAAACCGCAAAGGAGGCCCCGGTCCCTCACCCTCGAGTTGACAAGGGAGCCAACACAAATTCAGGCATTTGTCTCCGAAACAAGACTTTTTGGACCTTCTTCAACTGAGTTGCCTTTGGTAGGGTGATGTTGAAGTGGGAATATTTGTTGAAGGGGAATGTGGGAACTTGTATCCTCAATCAATGCAGGAACTGCGTGACTGACCAAATTCCGCACGTCACTTGGAGGCACAACGAATACTCACTGAAATGAGTATAATCATCGACTACTGGTATTCGGGCGCAGACTCATCCCATTCAATTTGCCCTCTTTAACAGCATCGCACAAGTGGACAGGAGGCACGTTTGAAGCTTCCGAACTTGCGCGTTTTCTTGACGGGTGGAAGGACACATCCCCATGGGAGGCTTTAGGTGATCATCAACTTTGGATGATCAAAAACTTGTCGCCGAGGGAAAGTCATCCTACACAGCTGACACTTTACATGGAACAAGAAGGGGCGATCCCTCTAGAAATGGGTGTTCCATGTGGAAGGGAATGGGTTTGGACGCAGTGCATCGACAAGTTGCCACAAAAGGGGGGCTACCTCGGAACCCATGATTGATAACCCTTGGTTGATTAGTTGGGGGGAGGGTGTCTCATCAGATTGAAAGAACCCGGACCACTTTCTGGGGAACACCCCTCATATTGGGCCGGGTTGATCACCCAGGGTCAACATATAGTCTATAAATCAAAGGCTTACCGTCTATTTGAAGGAATAGGTCTTTTGGTACAGCGGACTGATACTGTGGATGGACGAAATCCTGCACCACCTAAGAATCCCTGGAATGATGATTCTCCTGTAAATACCAACAAACCATGGTTTCCCATGGTTTCAAAGTGGTGCGAAGTGGATTGTGTCCATCCACAGTATCATGGAAGTAAGGCCCATAGTCATATCCACACGTCCATTTTGAAGCCCATGGGTCTCCCATCCTGTCGACTTAGGCTACATCCCATGGTGGCCGTGCTGACCATAGGCGCCGCACCCGGAGAAAGCTCGGAGTGTTATTGATATTGGCACCCGCTCCCTGAGTTGGACTGAACTTTTTGGGACCCTTTTCTCACTTCCCAAGTTTTATTTCTTTTTGGGAAGACCATTGTAGCGGTAAATACCAAGCTTGGACTCGGGAAGTGAGTTTTAGTGGCACAGAAACAGTTGGACTTTGCTCAACCCAGGTGAGAGCCTCAAAACATGCCTGGCAGCATCGATCCTCATGCAAGTGGCGTCCTGTGGTCCGCAAGTAAGACCCAACTCGGCAGCGAGCGGTTTGACACGTCCTGCCGGAATGCTTCGCAGAAGAACAGATCGCAAGCCAACGGGGCCAGGGGCCACGTGAGTCTGCAAGGTTTTCACGATTGGGCACCTACTTGCGCTGAGCCTTTGACCATGTTGTTTCTGCCTGCTTGCTGGTTTGTTTCGTTTTGTTTTGTTTGGTGTTGTTTTGTTTTGTTTTCAGGGAGAGCGTTCTACCCACAAATCCTGTGGGCTCGTTGGGGCCAACCTGTCAACTTGCTTTGGTTTCCTTGGTTTTGTATTTTGTGGGAGCAGTTGTTGGGTAAACCAGAGCTGTTTGTTTTTGAACTTATTGTACGGTTCATGAAATAGGGCCCAGAAACACACATGTCATTGTTGGCTTAAATTTCAATGTCTTGCAGCTTTTTAATGGGGATCTAAGATATGTCTCGCAACTTCAGACAGGGGCTTTGGTGTGCAACCGTGATGAATTACCTGTGATTTCTTATTTCAACTTGGTCAATTCTTACCCAGAACCAGGGGTTGCCGTGGACATCGGATGAATTCACAAGGAAAAGGATTTGTGCCATGGTCAAAAGGCCCTTTAGTTGGGGTTGGTAGAACAACCAGGGCAGGCAAATTCGAACGACATCACGAGGGGGGTTGGTGACGACACCCACGAAGGTTTCTTTCACATGTTTTTTTGTTTTCTCCTTTTTTTCCCCCCACCCGACAGGAAGGGGTTGTTGGATTTTATGTTGGAATCCGCGTTTGCGATGCTTCTACACCACGCCCCACCCAGTATCCCGCCAGAGCAGCTCTCCAGTATATCCCGCCAAGTATCCCGCAAGAGCAGCTCGCCTGTGGATCCCGCCGAGTATCCCGCCAGAGCTGCTCGCCATTGGATCCCGCCCAGTAGTATCCCACCAGAGCGGCTCGCCACTGAATCCCGCCAAGTATCCCGCCAGAGTGGATCCCGCCGAGTATCCCGCCAGAGCTGCTCGCCAGTGGATCCCGCAGAGCAGCTCGCCAGTGGATCGCCCAGTATCCCGCCAGAGCTGCTCCCCGGTGGATCCCGACAAGTATCCCGCCGAGCGGCTTGCCAGTGGATCCCGCCGAGTGTCCCGCCAGAGCGGCTCGCAGTAAATCCCGCCGAGTATCCCGCCAGAGCGGCCAGTGGATCCCGCCGAGTATCCCGCCAGAGCAGCCCGCCAGTGGCTCCCGCCGACTATCCCGCTGAGTATCCCAGAGTAGCTCGCCAGTGGATCCCGCCGAGAGTCCCGCTGAGTATCCCTTGCCGGTGGATCCTGCCGAGTATCCGGCCAGTATCGAGCCGGAGCGGCTCGCCAGTATTCGCCAGTGGATCCCGCCAGAATCCCGCCAGAGCAGCTCGCCAGTCCAGCTTTGCTTAATGTCTCGCCCGGCGCACAGTTGGGTTTGCATTTCATGTCGGTGCCTTCGTGTGTTGAGTGTACCCTGAGGCTCGGAAAGGGTGATGCTTTTGTGTTGTTTTGGGTTGTGAATAAACAACTTCGTTTAATCCCCCGTCGGGTTTCTTTTTGGAAGGGGCTTGGCTTTTGTTAAAGGAACCGATGTTTGAGTTCTCGAGATCGGCGGATAAGGCCCCAAGCCACTCGAAAACCATGCTTGAATTCACACAACCGTGTTCACAGTCGTAAGCTCGTGAGTGTGGAGGGTGGGGATTGCTCGAAGCGGAGTAATTCTTTTTTCGGTTGAGTCATAATTTGACCAATCCAGTCAAGGCTCCCAAGGGAGCCCATGGCGATGGGTCTTTGGATGAGCTTCTCGGCACAGGGGACTGCGAGCTGCTTATGCTGCGCAGACTGGATGGAGCACGCCTCAGAAATTGACTGGGCCAACAGATTGGAATCTGGATTTGCGGCTTTTTCTCCAATGCTAAGAGAATCATGCCGCTCGCGAGGAAACTGTAGGAAAGAGTCGCCGGTTGTCCCCCCCCCCACCAAGGTAAACTCTCAAGACTCCCAGCGGATGCATAAGAACTCAGGGAAAAGTGTCCACTGACCTGTCGACCGTCTATTCGTGCCGCTTCCCTGTCCAATCTCTATTCTCAACACTCCGCAAGATGCTTTTGCCGGATGGTGGTGGTCGTCAGTTCAGCCCAGTGTCCAGCAAATGGTGACTGGAGGGTTTTGGAAGTACTCTCCAAGGCCACTTCCAGGATTGTTGGGAAGAGGGTACCATGTACTTTGGAGGCAACAACTGTAGGGGGTGCAATATCCAGGAAAGAGTTGATTCATCGCGCTGGCCAACGTCGGGGTCCAACCCAATTTTCCCGTGAATGACGGGGCTTACCCAACTGTTGCACATTCCCCTGGGGCTCATGCCATATTTGAGGCCATGCATGAGTATTCAACGTGCGTGGCCGCCTTTTACGTTGCATGGATTTGGGCAGACCATTTTCTCACCAGGTTTTGATTGTGACTCAAATGTGCCTGACCCAGCTACCAACTGGTGCAGGATTCTGTCCATCCACACTCGTTTACCCTGAAAGTAATGAAGGGAGTGTGGTTTTGAAGCGCCCCATAACCCGATTGTAACAACTTAGGCCTTATCGCAAAGGCAAAATGAGCTCTCTCTTCACAAAAGCATGGGAACGATGGACATGTTGAGCTGGAATGACCTCCAGTTCAAAACAATGATGGTCCGCCGCCAATTACTGTGTAGTTCATCAACCTGAATCTGTGAAGGCAACGAGCGTTCATTCGTGACCTCAATTTAGCCCTGCTCTGTGAGCTCGTTACAACTGGTGCGAAGTGGAGTTGGTCCGTACAAGCAATTCTTCCTCCCCCCTCACACGGGTGCTTTCTCAAAATGGTCCTTTGGAGACAGCTGGCTTCTTTTTCGGTTTAACTGGCCAACACGGGGCCCGCCATTTTTGCGACCCCCCCCCCAGACCTAGTCCTCGTGCGGTCCGCAGCTTCAGGTCGGCAGTCCCCGCTGCAGGCCGCACAGGGCTCAGTTTGCTTCGGCGCGGCGTTTCGGCGCCACTTTGAGCAGGTGGTTCTTGAGGTGGCAGGGTGCAGAGCAAGTGGTTAGTTAGCCTGGTAGCCTGGTTATGCCACACTTAGCCTGGTTATAAGTCTCCTAAGTGGGTTATGACCAAGCTTCCCAGCCGCTTACTAAGTAACCTGCCCCTTGATGTACCTCGCTTTTTTCTGAAAGGTGACAGACAGGCCAAAAGCAAACCTTGACAGCCATAGACGCAAAAGTTTTATGGGTTTCGGGCGCTGAGGTTCGGTCAGAATCTCCTGAGTTGTGTATGGTCCATTTGTGGGGGAACTCACTCAAGTTCCCCACACAAACCAGTACGAGTAATTGTGGTGGTGGCGCGTGTGGCATGGTCAAGGGGCCAGTTCCTTTGCTTGAGGCCATCAACCCTTTATGGATTTTCAGTTTTTAGGGATGTTAGGCGACCATCATAAGGGTTCAAAAACCCTTGACCATGGCCAACAGAAGGAGTTTTGACAATGGCACACCCGAGTTTCCCAGGAGATGATATTAGATGTCCCATGGTGCTTGTGAGCCGAGGGCTGCATGTGGCTCAGCCCTGGCACCTTCGATTTGGAAGCTGAAGGACTGTGGAAGGCCCTCCTTTTGAAACCCCCAGTCAACCCCCATTGGAAAGAGGGTAAGCCGCTTTTCGGGTGAGATGTTTTGTTTCTCCGGCGGAAGTTTAGCAAAACCTTTAGACTCTCCCGAAATGTTTGGCGACTCACGATGGCTTCGTTGTTCACCCACTGTAGTTTTGAAGGTGCCATGGTCACTGCTCCCCGAGCTATTAGGATTTTTCTGGCAATCATCATAAGCCTTCCTTTTGAGGGGACCATGACCATGGCCAGAAGGACTTTGACTATGGCACCTATGCCCTTCAAGCTGCTTGTGCCAGTGTTTTGGTCGCACCCCCTTCCAACACGGATGATATCTGTTTGTTTTTGGAGTTCGTGGGTTGTTCAACCAGAGGCCGAAAGAATCAACTAGTTGTTGGGAACCTGCTGTATGCTTGACTGCTATTGGGTTGGATGTTTAGACTTCAACTTTTTGATTGAAGTCATGTTGGTTTTCCGAACTAAACCCCCAAGAAGTGAACAACTTTTTGCAGGGGTCCTTGCAGCAACCTGCTGTATGTAGGGAGCACCCATTCTGCGGGATTCATGGGATCCCTTGCGGCTTGCAAGGTCTTTCACACCGAGATGCAGAGGATAGATGGCCACGCCGGCTCCTGAAATAGGCGTGGGTCCAACCCTTTTGGGGGCCACGGAAATGGGTGTGATGTTGTGCTGCCTAGGGCAGAGGCTCACGAAAGAGGCTCACGAATTGGTCGACCCAGCCACATGGCTGATTTGTTGTTGGGCTGGTTGGCAACATGGGTTTGACAGTTTCTGGGTCCGAAAGACCCCGTCAAGAGGCGGCACACACATTGCTGTGCTTTTTTGAATTGGCCACCCCCAAACTCCCTAAAGGTCGCGCACTCAGTGCTCAGAGACCCGGATTTGTTCGTTCGTTGGTGCATTGGGCCAGAGATTCTATTGCGGAGTGTCTGAAAACTGAGTCCCAGACGCCTCTGCAGCTGGCCAGAGTGGACGTGCGCAGACCAAGAGCGGGGGGGGGGGGGCTTCAACTGCTGGTTTTGTCAGTTTGAGGATGCCCTGCCTTATTACACCGGGGGCTCCCGTCAGAGATTAGCGACCTTTGGGCTCCCCTTGTAGTCATGGGGACTTCAAGCAGGGCTCCGATTTTCGATCGAGGTACATGACGCCAGGTTCTTGCGGACGTTTCGCAGCTTCACCGCTCCGCAGTTGTGTTTTTCTTTTCTGCCGCTTGGCCCCCCTCTCTGCATCTGAACTCAACTCATGCGACCTTTCGACGCGAAGCCTTTGGGTTGACCTCCTTAAGGCTCCGGAATCCAGGTGCATGGGACTCCAACGCCCCATGTTGTGTAGCTTTTGTGTGAAAAAGGACGCCCCTCCGATGAAGAAGACGGTGGGTTTCTACGTTTCCCAGCCAAAAAGACCCTGCTTTCTCCTGAGAGGCCTACAAGTGCCAACTTCGAGTTGGAGTTGTTCTCAAGGTTTTTGGGCGCTGAGGACCGGGTGGATCCGGACTTCGACGAGGAGTTGGCTCTGGAGGCTTCCTGAAGCATCATGACGTCGTTGGGGGGAGTTTGGGACCTCCGAAGCATCAGACACCCTGCAAAAGAGGGCGGGGGGGGAGGGCGTTTGGCCCCAAGTTGGATGTCTTTCAAAAAGGGGCCCGATTCAATCTTAGCAAGGGTTCTGATCGTCTGATGGTTTATAGGGTGCTACATTCCCTGAGAAGCAAGCAACAGAAAAAAGCTAAATGTCAAGGGTATAAAAATGGTGTTGCTGCCTTTGGCATCAGGTAGCATTTGAGGGTTTCTCGAGATTGATTTCTTATCCCCATTGGTTGGTGTTTACCAAGAAGAACCAACATCTTTTGGGGCACCTTTATTCTAAGGAACACCCATGTGGGTATGTCTTGCGGGCCCATTTTTTGGGGGGGTTTGCAAGTAAGAGCGGCAACCCCAAAAAGCCTTTAGTTACCAACCACCCCAAGAGAGGGTCCGTTGGTTGCAGCGATTCGATCGATCAGGTCATCGAGAGGGGCAGTGCTGTGCACTGCGTCTCGGCCTACGAGGGGGACATCATCGCCAGGAATGGCCTGTTTTCCATCGAGGAGCAGCCACCCTCGCCCCCTCGAAAAGGGCCAAACTTTAGGTGGCTGTGGGTTTATGGTAAGGCCCTGAACCAGCATAACCACGGTAGACGCCAGGGGCGGCTCAAATGGGTGTGTCTTTTGTTGAGGGTGCGCCCTTTTTGGGGTTGTTGGGAAACCAAAGGAGAAAAGATGATTTGTTGGGTCCTCTATGTTCAGACACACCCAAATCTCTGGCAGAGATGTGCACTTGAGCTGAGACTGTGGAAGGTCCAACATCCGCGCCGATCGGCACCCCTTTTGTTTGGTGGTTTGTATCAACCAGCCATAGGGTTTCATGCATTCCTTCCTGGCAAAGTGGATTTTGCCCACAGTCTTGTGGCTCGACTAGCGATCAGTCGAGCCGGGCCCCCGCCAGGTCTTGGGCAGTGATGGCATCTTTGACAACCTCTATCTTGAAGAGGCCGCAAGCCCAGGATTTGAATGGCCACCAGTAACATCCATTGAGAATATAGCCGTTTTGCGAAGCCGCTCTCCAAATTGGGCCAACTGGTTTTTGTTGGGGTTGAGCCTTGGGGTTTCCTTGCCAGTATGTCTGGCAATGGTCTTCCTTTGGACACGCTTCACTTTTCGACCGGAGTTCCGAGGTCCGAAAATCCTGAGTGAAACCCCAAACCGGAGTTCCGAAGTCCGAATTCCCTGAGTGATTCCCCAAATATGGGCACACATCCCAAATGTGGAATTTCCACATGTCTGGCATTCTCACCGGTCGAGCTCCGGCAATGGCTTCAGATCGTGGAGATTGTCAACGAGACTCTTCCCATGCCCAAGCCAGGACCCTTCGCCGGGGGCTTGGAGGTGTCACCGTGGCGTGGGCAGAGCATTTGTTGGAAGCCCCTGACTTTCTTGGAAGGGACCTCTGAGAAGATTTGTTGAAGCACTGTTCCCCCCCCCCTCGCATGTTCGACCATTTCTTTTCACATGTTCTAACAGGGGGTTGACTTGCCCAACCTTGGCGCCCATTCTCTTCTCCGCAATCCTGCGGCTCCAGGTTTGGATGAATTCTGGGGATGCTCCTTTGGCTTGTGGGAAGAATATGGATGCCAACGGGAAGTGTTTTTGGCTTCTTCTTTTTTCCCCGGGGGAGGAGGGCATTGTTCCATGATTTACCCTTGGCATTTTCCCGGGGGAACCGGCAAAAGCCTCCTCCGCAGAAGTCTGGTTTCAAAGCAGGCCAGCCCCACATTGCAGAGCTTGGATTACTGTTGCGTTTCGTGAGCCGATCCTTTGCAAGCATTGGGAGCGACTGAGTTTGAACACCACGATCCGCGTGGCATCTGCTAATGTGGGAATGGGGCCCCTAACCATACCCTGCGAATCACTGCCCAGCTATTGTCCAGGCCCAGAGTTGGGGTGTCTCTGGAGGACAAGCAAAGTCAGAAACGGCTTCAACTGGCCATGTAGGGCATGAAATTGATCACAATGGCCATGTTGCCAGGTAATTTGGCCGAGTCTCGGTCGTGTTTTCTTTTTTAAACCTTTGAAAGCTACTCCAGAACGTTTTGGGGCTGGACTCCCGTTTCTGGGTCCTGGTTTGGGGTTTTGGTCACTTGGGGTTTCGGTTGGTTCCCGAAGCTTTCCGTTTTTTCCTTGCTTGTATCATGGCATGGAAATCCACGCGTGCCCTGCAGTTTCCTGCAGTTCCCCACTTCCCCCCCAAGGCAGGGAGAAGTTCCCTAAGGTTGCTGGGTTCCTTCATTTGGCTCACCCTCCCACCAATGGGAAGTGGACGTTTGTCCTCGTTTGAGAGATGCTTTTGGTTTGGACGCCAGCCCGGGGATCGATCCGGCTTCCCTTTCCGGCCTTGGGGCCTTGGAGGCCATCCAAGGAGTTTTCTCAGACATATTTGGGACATGGCTACGTAAGGCCTTTGGGCCCAAGATGAACAGGGAACCCAAGGTTCCCTCAGGTTCCCCTCGCATGGAAATCCAGACTAGGCCTTTCCAGCAGTCCAGTAGTGCCCTTTTTACAGTTTCCTTTTTTGGTTGGGAGGGTTCCCCTACCAAAATCGACAAACAAAAGGTTGGTACCTTTATTCTGAGTTCTCAAATCTGGAGGACCTAGCAGAAGCGCTGGCTGGCCCTCCCTTGACCTCCCGCGATCCCGAGGTGGCGACCCAGCCGGTGCTGCTGAGCCAACTCGCGCGGCGTTTGGTGGACGAGGCCCACGCCAAGAGTGAGGCGAGGTTCGCGTAAACGAGCGTCGAGCGAAAGAAAGGGCGGGGCTTCGAAGGGCGGTGGCTCCCATGGGCGGTGGCTCCCATCTTCCCTGTATTTTGGTGTTGAAAAAGCAACATGCTTCAAATGGTGGCAATATGGAGATCTTTCAAGGAGCCCTGTTCAATCCAAACCTACCTGGAGTCGCCACGACCCTTCAAAATAGGTCCATGACCCCATTATTTAGGGCAATGCCCCCGTTTTTTAAGGGCCATGGCTTTTTTGAACAAAAGGTGCAAGGTAGGTGGTCCCGTGTGAGAGACACCAATGGTAAGTGGGGGAAACAAATAGGGCGTGTGGTTGATTTGTTTGGCTTTTTTTTTGGATGGGGCCTGCAAAGTGGGGTTGGTGGACATAAATCCAACACGCTCATGTGTGGTTTGACCGAAAGGTCCCGAACATATGGGATATGACCCTTTGCGAAACCGCCAAACAGATATTCTTCCCGCAGTTCTGCCATTCGAAGTGAGTCAATCCTTCCAACACTGTGCATGGTTTGCTGGATCATGGTCAATCATGCCCCAACTCAAATATGATCAATTTTCCTGACACCCAACTGACCATGGAAAGCTTTTGCTCTCTTGTTTCAATGTTCGGACTTCTAGGCTTTTCCCAAATCACTATGGTCCAGGTACCCCTCACTTTGTGGTTGGGATTGATGTTTTGGGGCTTTGACCCCCCAGATTTGGAAGGTACCACTGTCCCCGCAACTAAACCAAACCGAACCAAGCCAAGTCACACCAAACCAATCGGGGCTCAGGTCAGGGCCCAGTGGGAGCCCAGTGACCTTTCCTTCAACCAGAAACCGAGGTGGGCCCCCAGGGCCTGCCGGACACACCCATCGGCCTGGGGGGCAAGATGGACGACACCTCCGTGGTGGTGGGTGAGGCGGGCGCGCAGGGTTTGGTCCATGTTTCCACTTACTAGGGTTCAATTTTGGTGCCGGTTTTTGACCCACAGCCAAATCGAAATGGCACAGAACACGCTTTCTGGGCCTTTTGGGAGGTTGTTTGGCATTGGAGCTTTTTGCTGCGCTCGGCTTTTTGGGGTTGAATTCGGGTTTTGGCATGTTTGACCTGTGGTTTTGCTGGCAAGTAGTCCAGCCACGGGGTTTCAAGGGTGCTGCGGTCAGTGCGTTTTCGGGGTTTCTACGGGTTGCCAAAGTCAGCAAACTACATGGGGATTTTGATGGTGCGACATTGAGACACGTGTTTCTTGACATTGGAAGAGGGATTGATTCCTCGTTTTTGAATGGCAGATGTGCCTTTGGAGCCGAGGCAGCCAAAGGAAAGGGGTACCTCCGCTTTGCCATTTTGCTGTTCACCAAACATGGAATGCTGCATGGGTGCTTAAACCGGGGTTAACGGCCGGCGTGCCTTTGGTTTCTTTTGGAATCAGCCAGTATGGGGTTCTCTATTTCAGAAAGCACGTAGATGGGTGGGGCCACTCATGACCCTCAGAGGTAATCATATCTTGCGTTGCTTCGAGCATTTCTGGGCATGGAGTGGCAACCGGCAGCTCTCACTGTCCAATCAATTGGTCTTTAGCTGCTTCCTTGGACGCTGTGGCAATTTTCGGGTTTAGTTTCCACTTCTCTGATACAGCAAAACCTCCTCTGAGGAACTAGTCTACGGGAAGCCTTGCCGGTGGAATCATACAAGGGAACTCCTACAACCTTGTGACGGGAGGAAACATTGTGGTCTATTGTATACATGTTTAGTGGTCCTAAGTTTAAGTGAGACACCCAAGCGGATGCTTTGGCCCAAGCAAAGTCGGTCGGACCAGTACCCTTCAAAGGGGGGGGAACAGGAATGATGATAGGTGTCCTTTTTGGTTGGTTTGCTTCAAAAAACAGAGGGAGATTCCTGGTTTACCTGGTGGCTCAATCATCTAATGTTGGCACTTGATGAATCAACCGGGCGTCAATAATTGCAAGTTTTTTTCCTTATTCTGGTTCGCACCCATTGTTTAGGGGGACCAGAATAATTTAAGTTCATTTTTTGCCCGGGGGGACAATTCCAAAACAAAACTCCACAAATCAATTTTAAGTTAAAAAGAAAACAAAAAAAACATCTCCCCTCCCAGAAAATAAACTATCAGTTGCTTTACTCAAAAGCATTCCCCTTTCAGTTGGTGGCCCACTTGCTTAAAAGCGTCCCCTTTCAATTGGTGGCCCACTTGTTTAAAGCATTTCCCTTTCAATTGGTTGCTCAACCACAGAACCCAAAGCCAGCTGAAACCTCTGAAATTTAAAAAAACCATCCCCAGCCCTAAAACTGCAAACTCTTTACTAAACCGTGTTTAAAAAATGGGGAAAAAAACAATCAGGACAAGGGTACCCCTCACAGACCCCACTGAACCACAATAATGTCATTCTTTTAGGGGACCACATTAGTTGCAAGCCCCCAGCCCCCCCCCCAGAAAATAAACTATCAGTTGCTTTACTCAAAAGCATTCCCCTTTCAATTGGTGGCCCACTTGCTTAAAAGCATCCCCTTTCAATTGGCGGCCCACTTGCTGAAAAGCATTCCCCTTTCAATTGGTTGCAATAAAGTAGTATTCCAAAAAGTATGCTCAGGAAGAAGTGGTTGCAATACTAAAGTAGTATTCCAAAAAGTCTGCTCAGGAAGAAGTGGTTGCAATACTAAAGAAGAATTGCAAAACGGAAGTGGCTGCAATACTAAAGTAGAATTGGGCCCCAAAATCCTCCATTGTTTGGACGTCCCAAAAGTGAGCCCCCTTTATTTGGGCACCTCCATTGTTCAGGGGGGGGGGGCCCTTTATTAATCAAGTGCCAACATTACCAGGGAAACCCATCTATTTTCCACAAAGGACACCTATGGCAGCCACCGTCATTTTCTTTGTTCTTGTTTTTTTGGTTTGTTTTTTGTTTGTTTGTTTGGGGGGAGTCTGTGTAAACGATGGATGCCGTGATTTGTTTCGGGGTTGCGTGCTCAGGTGGTGGAGTGGACCAAGGCTCACAGCGAAGTCTGGGCGCAGGCGTTGGCTTTGGGCCCCAAAGCCGCGCTTGAGGGACACCTACCCTCCCACCAACATGGGTTTGGTGCCATAGACCCCTGTAAGACTACAGACTCCTCTTGGAAAGGGGAGCCAAATGTGCACTTCCATGTTGGAGGGTAAAAAGATGCCCTACTCTGGGTGCCAATTATGGCATGGGTATGGGTATGAGGTTTCCAGGGCCTCAGGTGGCCCGAAAACCGTTGGGAGTGTTGCCGCGGAGAGATGTTGGCAACCTCCCAAGTAGCATGCGACCAATACTGTGCGAGACAAATAACATGGATTTGCCAACAGCTACATCTCCAATCAGCTTGAAATAGGCTTGGGGAAGATTTAGGAATGTTTTGGGAAGGGCTGTAGATTTTGGGTGGCTTGGAGGTACTGTGCTTTTCGGCTGGGTGTGGGTGAGTACCACCGAGGAAGCCTGCTAATGGTATCTGACCTGTCTTTGTTCCCCAAGAACATAGGAAGTTCAGTCAAAGCTGCCGGTCCAAGCGGTCCATTTGGGAAAAAACATGCGGGGCGAGCTCTCAATTTCCAAAAGCGGCATGGTTCACAGGCGGGTCCAAGGGTTGGTACGCTTCCCAAGGCTCCAATGTGTCCCCAAAGCCCTGCAAACTCCGAAAACCCTATGCAAGGCCCACAAAAAAAAATATCGCTCCTATGAAAACCTTGAATGTTTGTGTGTGCTTTCCAATCGCCAGCTTAGAGTTCAGCTTTTTGCGTGGGCAAGAGCTGCGCAGCTTCATGCCTGTTCTCGAATTTGTTGGCCAGATCTAAAGTCAACTTCGGTTCCATCCGCAGGACCCAGTCACTCCGAGGAACCCCTTCAATATGTGGGCGTGCCTATGTATGAGGGTACCTTTTGTTGGTGATTTCAAAGGGAAACCAAAGGGCATGCCACCACTTGGTTGGTTTCGAAACCCAAAAGAAGACACACCAATGTCGTAAAGGTGGTCCCCTCAGCACCAAACCCGTGGAGTCTTTCTCGCAGCCGACCCCAACGTTAAGCCACGAGCCCCGAACCAAGGTTCACAAAGTGGGGCACGCAGTTTTGCTTTTGGAGATTCACCCCATTTGGGGTGTCTACATCGGGATTTGAAGCTTCCCCCCCACAACAATGGTGGGTGCTATTTTTTTGGGGATTTTTGCCTGGAACCAACGCTGAAAAGCGCTCCTGCGGCCGGGGGTGTGCCAGGTTCGCAAGCAAAGTCAGTGGCGGGGCCTGACCTGCCCGGCCTTCAGTGGGCCCCACGAGTCGGGTCAGCCCATCACGCGGAAACCGGCGGCAAGACGCGGACGAAGCGACAAGATGGTTTGCCTCAACTCGGGTGGGGATCGTGCCCTGCGTGCCCGGGAAAAAAAACAAATGACAGCGTTGCTGCCGGGTTCCCAGCGCGAAATGGCAAAGCCAACTGGTGGCCCGTCGTTTTGGAGCGGGTACCTTGTGTTGGGCTTGTTTCACAAAGCGAGGCCCAGGCGCCGACCTTCAAGTTGACCGAACCGCGAGACGGGGTTTCTGCCCAAATAAGATCCGAAGCGGTCGGCAGCAACTCCCGAATCTGCAGGGGAGTTGGAGTGTCCTTTCAGCCTATGAGCAGCGCCCCAAACCTTGTGCTGGACGCCTTCTGGGGTTTGCCAGGCTCGCAGCAAATCAGATCTCTTCCAGCTAGCCTCCCATGTTCGTGGGAAGGCTACACATTCTGCCTCACCAGTTCCGAGGCGGTGCCATGGCCGGGGCTGCCAGATTTTGGGTTCGGAGTGCTCCGGGCTGTGGGGCTGTGGGGCCTTTACGGATTGCTTGCAGAAAGAACCAAGCCCTGGGTTCCAGTTTTTGGGTCCTACTGGCAGGAAGGTGGTCTTTTGGAGGAACATGGTCTATCCAATGTGGGGGCAAGGGAAATCCAAAGGGCAGCCATCTGCGCTGTCTGGCTACCTGCCGACATGTGCCCAGACTACCTGCCGATCCTGCCGCCCGGGCGAGGCGAACAGTTGGGCCGAATTGATCGCGCCTTGAGTGGGAGTCACATGAGTCAGGGACATGATTGGTAGTTAGAGGGGGCAGGGAGTGTCAGGTAAGTGGCCAGTAAGCCAGTAACCCTGGTTATGACCCATTTAGCGGACTTACCACTGTGGCTTTGGCTTTGGTGGCTTCTACCCAGGGTGACTAACCACTTCCCTGCCAGCCTGCCTCAAGTAGACTCTGGCGACCCCACTTCCATACAAAAGCAAAGAGCCACGCCCTTGGGAAACACGTCGTTTTGGTTACTCACATGACCGGGCTGAAACTTGTTGACTGTCCACGCTTGATGGACTTACTCCTTCCAACATGAGGCAGAGGAGGTGTGGTAAGACTCTTTGCTTTTCGGGCAACCTCCCTGTCCAGTTCCACGATTGGAAGTGTAATGTCCACCTCTGATTAATACCCCCCGCAAAAGAAAACTAAGGTTTCTTAAACAAAGTTGGAAAAGTATACCAATACTAAACTAAGTAGGTGGACATTAGTGGCCGTCCCATAGACCTGAAATGTGGCCGAAGCCAGAACCAACCGATTTGCGTTGCAGGATCTGCCAATGCCTTGGAATCGCCTGACGCAGGACAGTGGCAGCGAGCATGAGCTGGACATCAGCAATGAACGAGGCGTTTTGCTTGAGCATCCCAGGTTGTGCTTTTAGAACTGCCTTGGAAGCATATATATATATATATACACATCGTATATCTATATCTTATATCTTATGCATATATATATATATATATATATATATATATATGGTCACCCCCCCCCCATGATCCACATTTGCCTCTTGCAAGCAAAAAACACTGGAAAAACACATGTAAAATGCTTGTTTTTGACCACCTGTTCCAGGATCAGATTCTGATCCTGGAAACTTGGGTCAAAAACAAGCATCATTCTTGATGAGTAGATTAGTCAAAGATTGCGACATTCTTGATGGACAGATGTTAGGCAACTTGAAGCAGATGCTTACAGATGGTTTGTGTGGACAGCCTTCTGGAAAAAAAGTTAGCAGGGAGCAGATGGAACTTATGGAAGCAGCATGCAGAAAGTGCTGTACTGTCCCTAAAATCCAGGCTTTGGAGGCTGAAAGTGCTGTACTGTCCCTAAAAAACCTAAAAAACCATTCCAAAAACAGTCTTGGGCACACAAGCCGCCTTCTGGCTTTTTAGGGACAGTACAGCACTTTTTTTGGTTTTTTAGGGACAGTACAGCACTTTTTTTGGTTTTTTAGGGACAGTACAGCACTTTTGAGCATCAGCATGCAGAAAGTCCAGGCTTTGGAGGCTGAAAGTGCTGTACTGTCCCTAAAAAACCAAAAAAACCATTCCAAAAACAGTCTTGGGCACACAAGCCGCCTTCTGGCAAGGAATTTTTGATTTTTTAGGGACAGTGCAGCACTTTTTTTGGTTTTTTTAGGGACAGTACAGCACTTTTTTGGTTTTTTAGGTACAGCACTTTTTTTTTGGGTTTTTAGGGACAGTACAGCACTTTTTTTGGTTTTTTAGGGACAGTACAGCACTTTTTTGGTTTTTTAGGGACAGTGCAGCACTTTTGAGGATCAGCATGCAGAAAGTCCAGGCTTTGGAGGCTGAAAGTGCTGTACTGTCCCTAAAAAACCCAAAAAAACCATTCCAAAAACAGTCTTGGGCACACAAGCCGCCTTCTGGCAAGGAATTTTTGATTTTTTAGGGACAGTACAGCACTTTTTTGGGTTTTTTAGGGACAGTACAGCACTTTTTTTGGGGACAGTGCAGCACTTTTGAGCATCAGTGCTGTACTGTCCCTAAAAAACCAAAAAAAGTGCTGTACTGTCCCTAAAAAACAAAAAAATCATTGCCAGGGACAGTACAGCACTTTCAGCCTCCAAAGCCTGGATTTTAGGGACAGTACAGCACTTTCTGCATGCTGATGCTCAAAAGTGCTGTACTGTCCCTAAAAAACCAAAAAAAGTGCTGTACTGTCCCTAAAAAACCAAAAAATTCCTTGCCAGAAGGAGGTTTGTGTGCCCAAGACTGTTTTTGGAATGGTTTTTTAGGTTTTTTAGGGACAGTACAGCACTTTCAGCCTCCAAAGCCTGGATTTTAGGGACAGTACAGCACTTTCTGCATGCTGATGCTCAAAAGTGCTGTACTGTCCCTAAAAAACCAAAAAAGTGCTGTACTGTCCCTAAAAAACTAAAAATTCCTTGCCAGAAGGAGGTTTGTGTGCTCAAGACTGTTTCTGGAATTGTTTTTTAAGTTTTTTTAGGGACAGTACAGCACTTTCTGCCTCCAAGGCCTGGATTTTAGGGACAGTACAGCACTTTTAAGCATGCAGAAAGTGCTGTACTGTTTTTTAAAATTGTGGATGTGGGAAGGCAGTAGCAGATGTTTGTCACTCCGACGAGCTGGCTTGCATTTTTCTTGCCTTTTTCCTTCGAGCGCATATCCGGTAATCACTGCTTGTGCAGTGCCTGCAGCATCTGGCCGGATGAGCTTGAGATGCAAGCAGTACGAAAACAGCCTCCAATGGGAGTTGGGCTAAAAGTACTTCAGCCATTAGTTACACACTGCGGGGTCAAACTAAGGAGCCAGAGCTGAGACCACACACTGCAGCCATACCAAATGTGGATCATGGGGTTGGAATATCAGAAAGTTGCCCAGCTTTGCAATGGATGCAGTATAGCACAAGGAAACTTAATGAGCTTGATATGCAAGCAGACTCAGGCGTACATGGTCAGCAGGCTTTTTTTCCTTGCGGCTTGGAAAACTGAGAGAGTAAAAGCAGTCCTAAGGACTGTCCCATAAAAAACTATGGCAAATGCCTCTCACTCATAATCAAGCCAAGTTCATTCTCTTGGAGGACGGTCTCCTCGCTCGCGCTGATCTTGAAGTGCAAGCCTTCGAAGCTGAACACTTCCGATCCTTAGATGGGCAAGAGCAGAAATGACAGCAGAAGGACCCCATAAGAAACTGCAGTTTTCGACTCGATGAAATCGGCCAAGTAGCCACATGGTAGATAACCTACTTTTGTAGGCCATCTGGATGGAGCGATAGGGCTCGGCGTGGCGCTCGTTGCCATGGCTGTTATTATTTTAACAGCCTCCATTGGGAGACGGGCTAAGAGTACTTCAGCCATTCAAATTAAGGAGCCAAAGCTGAGACCATACACTGCAGCAATGCCAAATGTGGATCATGGGGGGGGGGGTGAGCATATATATATACACACACATGCATGTATGGATTTGTCTCAGAATAGCGGAACCTCAAAATGGTGAGTTTCCTGATGGCTTCCCTTCAAGCCCACCCACGACTATTTTCTCGCCCTCCGCTCCGGAGGGTAAATGTCAATCGTCGGGTGTGATGGCTCGGGGTGGTTTCGCTTGAGTCCGCATCCGAGCAGATCCAGAGGAGCTTCAGAGTTCCATGTAGGGTTTGGCGATTTTTGTGACTGACCCACACCCATGGGCCCAACCCCCAAGCCCAAGATCTATTTTTGGAGCTTCATTTTTGGGTTTCACGGGCTCACAACCTGTACGGGTTGGGGGTCGCAAAAAGCGAAAGGGTTCTCCTGGACAAGTTTCGCATTTAGCTTTCGCAGGCGACCGCTTCCGCTCTTCAGCACTGCTCTCAGCTAGGTGCCATTCTGGCGAAAGTCTTGGTAGCCACGAGCGCCTCTTTTTCAAGTAACCAGATGTCAAGTCAGGGCTGACTGAAGGTCTTCGCCTTGGGCAACTAGGCGTTTCAAAGTCCAAGAACAAGTGGATATGCGTAGGAAGTCTGCACTTCATTTGGGAAGCCACAACACCAAGACTCTCTCCGTTTCCCATGTCTGCGAAACTCAGTTGGACCGCGGCGCATCTGATTTGCGAGATTCCATAAATTCGTTTGGGTGGTTTGGAAGTGCCAGCCTTTTGGAAAGGACGAAATGAGTTAGGGTTTCCTTTTTTGCGAGGATGGGAACTCTGATTCGTCCCAGTGCTTCCAGCTACGCCCATGTCCAACTGTCTGCCATCCGCTCTAGCGTTTTCGGGCCTTGCATGTTGAGCCGGGTCGGTATGTGACCAAACCAGGGATCACTTTTTGGGCCTTGAAATGGACACCGTCATGAAACCAACGATATGGTTCTTATATCACCGATTGTAGGTGCGAGCAAATGAAAAGCTCCTTGGCGATGGTCGACATGTCAGCGGTTGCCATGGGTGGACAAAATCTCCTTTGACACCAGCTGGCCGATGTAGATGCTTGAATGAACCTTGTGACCCCTATTTTGAGAAGCTCACGGTTGGTGCGAAGAGGATTTCGTCTATCCAGTATCTTCGAGTCGCTTGCTCAAGCCGCGCCGGCTCCCAGTCCATGTCGGTGGATGAGTCTGATGATGAGGGAAGATGCGCAGTGCAATGAAGCGGCCGGAGCCACCCGAAAGCACATCTCAAAGCTTCAACAAGGGCCCTGGGCCCTGGACCATGCTCCTGAACGGAAACCCCCAAAGAAGGAGCAACGAAGGGACAACTAGACGGGGTAAATGATGGGCCAAAGACCGAAGGCCCATATGCCATATTCCTGCCTTGGTTCGGGAAATTCTTACGAGAGTTCCAGTGATGTCATGTGGCTCCGGGCGATGTAGCTCGACCTCCCAGGTGTTATACGGCATTCTGGGCCTGCATGCGTAATTCGTGCATGTCGGAAATCGGAAATCGGAGAAAGCTTCCGGCTTAAGCGGCCTACGGCTTACGGCACAGTGAGAGAACTCGGATGGCAGGTGCGATCACAACCTTGCACTTGCCATTGTTTGGGGCCGGCGGGCAGTGATGCCCCAAACTTCCCACAAACTTCATCATTGTGTCCGAGACACTTCGACTTTCTGCAAAAGGAAATTACTCATTCCCTTGTATATTTTCCATGGTTGTGTTCCCAAACAATTTAAATGAGACTCTGTGCGCCTTTCACGCGAGGCTTGAACGTTCTTGCGAAGGAGGCTGATTGCGAGGGAGGCTGAGGTATCAATGATTCATCGCTGAAACTTTGATCATGTATTCCATCAGCTCAAATCATTTTTTGTTTGGTAAAGAGCTGCAACCCTTGTCTGCATGACTGACACGTATGTGGTGCACAGATAACTAACGTGTGTAAGTCCAATCACAGCACTGTTACGACAACTACATCACTGTTACTGCAGTCATAGCGCCGTTGCTGCCACAATCACAGCCCGGTCACGATGTGATTTTTCAGCGGCTCGACAGGCTGTGGTCATGCCATGCGCTTCGTGGCCTGCATCCGAGAGTCGGCGAGCGGATTCGAGAGTCGGTGTCACGGAGAGATGTTTTTTGCTGAGTCCCCTGCTGGGTGAGCTAGTCGCCCGGCGACTCAACTTGACATGGCCCCAGGGTGCGGAGATTGCAGAGTATGTCACGCCTGGAGAGTATGTAGGCGACATTGTTCCAATTCGCTCGGCTGCTCCGATGAATGTACTTGGTGACAAGCACTTGGCATTGGTGCGACACAGCTCAGACAGCCAAAAGTCTGTGCACAGCGTGAGTCGCTGCTCAGCAGCCTTTTGTTCACTTAGGCATGCGGAGAGTCACTTTGAAGTTGATGCTGCACTGGGCCGAACAGGATGTGCTGTTCGTTTGGGATGTGCGCGCAGGCGCAGGCTTGATTGCACTTTGGGAAGTTTCAAGCATGTCTCGGTGTTCCAAAGACGCCAAGCCGTTCAGCAGTGCCGGCTTCACTGCGTTGCTGCTGGCTGCACCTCGGGTCTTCCCATGTGACCGAGGACCTGCCAGTTTGCGCGCTCCGTGGCCGGGTTCGAGGCTCCGCTCTGAAGGTCCCAAGCCTTGCCAAAGAATGCAGCCTCACACTGCGGACGCAGAGTTTGCCTTCGTTCCGTCCGCACCGTCTTGCAACTGTCGGCCAACTCGAGATCATTGAAGGAGCAGCTGGCATGAGCTGGGTTTGTCCAGCTGTCCAGTTTCCAGCCCACATTTGCCATGACCCATGCCTTCCATGCCTGGGTAACCCATGTGCCGATGTCTAGCGAAACTTGGTCCGATGTATTTGGCCTCCTCTGCAGTAGGCTTGCTTGCACAGGACTCGCAAGGGCACTTTTCAAGACGCAGTCTGGCCTCCCAAAGGGAAATCGCCAAGGTTTGAGGTGGATCACCTAAGACCCCCCCCCACCCCCCCGCAACTCCGGCTGCTGGAGATGTCTCCAGTGAGAACATGTTTGGCTGAACATCCGGCAGTGGGATCCGTGCAGGTGAATCTAGGTGCAAAGTAGCTGGTGACCGCACCGATTTCGAGGTAGAAAGGAGCTCTCCCATGACGGTTCCTTGGAGATTCCTTTCCAGGTGAATAATAGTAATTCGCCCCAGGTGCAAGGCAGAAAAAGCCATACACAAAGCCGTACTCGACGATGCAAGCTTGTGAAGCCTGCAAGCAGAGCTCGGCAGTTCAACTTAGTCACTGTGAGAACTGTTAGTCGTTAGGGCACTCATTTAAAAAGCTCAGAAGCCTTGAAGTACCCTTCTACCAGGCACAGCTGATTTCGGGCACCTCGCCTGGAAGGCTGCTCTCTCCCCAGTCAAGTGTCTGTGAAGTGCCGTCTCGCCATCCGCAACGCTTGGAGCCAGATGACATTCCTTTGCAGCGGTTTTGCGGTTTTGAGAGTTTGGTTGTAAGACTTACCCCCTCTCTTTGACGGATAAGTTTGCTTGTGCACAAAGATAGGGTCGCCTCTGGCTGGTTGGTGTTCTCCGTGTGTCCCACCACCCAAGAAAAAGACCGAATTTTGAGACAAACTCATATCGCTGTCACAGGGGCGCTGTATCGCCGACTCCGCCGCCATGCCAGGGAGCGTTTGGATGCGCCATGCCGCTGGAGAGGGGCTCGGGGCTTCCGGCTGTGCGCAAGCCATGGTGAAACCAAAAGGCTTTGCCATCTCTCAACCCTGCAAAATTGTCCCTAAGCCACCCAATTGGAACGCTGGGTTTTGCCACGTTTTGCCTTGAAGCGCTAGCGGGTCCGGGCAATCTCCGGGGCTCTTTGCTTGCCTGGGGCTTCATGCCGGGCTGCGCGGCTTGGCCCGAGCTGGCGGTTTGGCGCTCATCGCAGCGGGTTGCGATGCCGGGCTGACGTGAGGCTGCGTCGCACTTCACGGCCAATGCTTCGGGGCCTTCAAATTTGCCTGGCCATTTCGAAAAAACGGGTGCCAATCTTGAAAGCTGGCCCCAGATGAGATGCTGCCGCTGTCGCGCGCACCGCATTCAATGCGTGTGGTTTCTGCCTCAAGTTGAAAGCTCTTTGAGTCTGTTCAAGCCACTGCTGAGCTTCATTTGCGGTCAGAGAGTCCAACATGTTTCGAGTTGCGCGGCCTCGAAGTCCAGTTCTTGAAGCCCTAGTTGCCCGAATGCGTGCCATGCCTATGGAGTCGAAAGGGTCAAGTCAGCTGTGACCGGCACACGCCTTCTTTGGTGGAAGCATGGTACGTCTGGAGAAAGCTGAGTGCGTGCCAGGCATGTGGACTAGTTGGATGATGGGGTGTTTGTCCACAGTTTTCACGCGGACAGGCGGGATTCTCTTTGTGCACATTCAGCCATGCATGTAGTGCCTCCAGCGTCAGATCTTCGTGTAGTGCTGAGAGAGAGAGAGAGAGAGAGCATCCGGTGTCTCTAGCCAGCGACAACAACATTCCCTGCCAAACGAACCCGGGAATCTTCGCGGCCTTTGGTTTCCGTTTCAGAGAGCATCCTCGCAATGTTCGACTCGCTCGACTTGGGTGACTGACTCAAGGCTCGCGGCTCCGCTTGAGCCCGAGGTGCAGGACACCTGTCTTCTTTCTCTTGCCTTTCCGGACGTGCAAAAGGCCCTTCTTCAGCGAGATGAGCCGCGGCGTTGCGGGACTTGACCCCGCGTTCCGATCGCTGCCAGATGTTCTTGGCCCAATCTTGGGGGTTCCCTTCCCAATCTGCTGTTCAGTTGTGCTCTGCGACATCTGGAAGCTATGATGCCTCTGCGCAAATTAGCTCCGGAGTGATCCGGAGCAGCTTGATTGCTGTTGGTGATAGCTCCTGGGCTTATTTCCTGAGCATGGCATCGTAGTTTTGGAACCAACCTGAAGATGCCCTGAGACATGCCGGCGATGCTTGGCCCAAGTGCGTGCGCACGCCACTATTTGCCCCCGCTACATGTGTAAATTGTGTGCACACTTCGGCGCTGAACCAGTTGCTTGGAGATCACTTGCGCCTCTGAATGAACCGATGCCAACTGATTGTGTTTGGACGACAAGAAGTGGGGCTGGAGGACAGGCTTGCGTGGCCAACTTGACAGACTTTTGCGATGCATGATGCCTTCTTTGGCAAAAGGTGCTTGCACAATTGCGCCCGGCTTCTCTCGCTGTGCGCCTTTTGGTGCCTGGGGCAATGTAGGGCAAACAGCATCTGCAGCTCCGGGCTGTGAGGTCAGCTTCACGAATCCGCCTTGCTTCACGAATGGTTGAAGTTGTCCGTATGTTGAAGCATGGTTTGTGCTCCAGTGATTGCAGCCCGACGCCAAGATCCGAAAGCCTTCTGCCAGTGCCAGTACATGGCATTTGGTTGCTACAGTCCCCAGTGCCTTAGATATCCAGTTGCGGCGCGCCAAGTGCGTTCTCGGTGCCCTGGATGTCCCCTCAAAATTGATGTCTCGTGCCTGGCAACCTGTGGATATGTTTGGCGCCAAGTTTCGCCCGCACCGCTTGGCGCCTCGCGTCTGACGAATGTGCCTTGGGCTCTGACACTCACATGACACGCCGTTTCAACCTCACCTCGTGCAGCTCATCCTTCTGACTTCTCGCCTGGGAGCGCATGCTGCGCTGTCTGAGAGCGTCTGTTGCTGGTCGACCCGCTTTTGGTTGGGTTTCGATGGAAACGCTTTTGATCATGCCAATACTTCTTGGCTGCCTCTGTTCGAAGCTAGCGTGTGCTTGCACTGCCAAGGCTACCTGAATGAAGTGTCAGCGTTTCAGAGATGGTATTTCGCACAGCTTCGTTCTTGTGAAGCATTCTTGCGGCTCTGGTTTCAGTCCTCCTATGTTTGGATGAATCTTGCTTGTCCGTCTTCTTGCCTGCGAGTATTTCAACATGAATCGCTTTGGTTTCATTATCCTGGTTGTGTGAAAAAGGAATCAAGACATGACATGAAGGCTTGAAGCAAAGACGTGCAAGAAGCCAGGTGCATTGCTCGAGCAGCCTCAGTCGTGGCGTGAGTCTACAGATTCGGGCTGGGGATGGTTGCCAGAGATCCTGCCATGCCTTCTTGTTGAGCGTTGGCACTCCTTGAGAGATCACCAGCTGCGGAAGCTTTCCAAGGAGTGACTTTCTTGTTTCGGCAAAGCTTGGGCAGTTGGGATTTGAAGTGTGTTGGGACGAGCTTTGCAGCAAAGTGGAGCTTGGCCGTAACACGGGCAGTCCGTGTGCTTCTGGTGTCCACCCCATCGAGAAAGCATGGCTTCTCAAACCTTGGACGTTCGTGCTTTTGAAATGCAGGCTTTTCAGATGTCAACCAAGACAATTCCTTTTTTGGGGGACCTCAAAGAGGCTTTGCTGGCCATGCATATTGGGGGAGCCAAGGAGCCAGGGATTTGGAGCCCCAATCACCGCCAAACTCACTGGACAGTTTGACGCTTCAAGGTCCATCTCGCGCGTTGCCCACTGCTTGCTTCAGATCCAGCCGTATGAACAGAGCAACGCTGGTTGTTGGCAAGTTCTGAGACCGTTTGCACTTGACGTGTCCTTGAAAGAGCACCTCCTGATCATGTGGAGGCTCTCCAAATGACGCGTTTCGGCAAAGTGGCTGTCCGTTGATGTGCTGCACCTCCTTGTGCTGTTGTTTTCTTGCTGAGGCACGGGGTGTGAAGCCTCGCAGACCTTGAACCGCTGGCCCACAAGATTGAGACCACGGCTTTTTCCGAGGTGTCCCTTCTGAGGTTTTCCTTTTTCGGGTAAGCTTAAAGGGACACCAAAGGGAAGCCGGCCATTTTGGGGGCCCCCGATTTTTGACACCGACTCACTTAGACGCCTTGGAGGCCAATGTGTTGGCGTTTGCAGCTTCAGCGTGCTCTTCGGAGCAACCGGAGCTTCCTTGGGCTCCGGTTCGGTTGCCACAAAATGTTCGGGAGTTCGCCGTGCGTGGTTGGCTAGAAAAAATGCTAAATTCTGGAGAATGTGCATTTTAGCAAGCAATTTCTACTAACATCAAATATATGCATCATGCTGCCAGGTGAAAGAAGGTCTGGCCATGTGTTGAGTGAGAGCTGTAGTTTGCGGAGGATTTCGATGGACCTCTGTTCCTTCTTTGCGCCGCGATAGAACCAAAGGCCGGTGAGGTTCTCAGCGGTTGGCTTCGACTCTCTCTTGGCTTTGATCGCTGAATCCTTCGTTCCTTGGATCCATTATTGATAAATATGTACACGCTCTCAAGGCAACGCGCCGCCAGCACACCGCCTGAGGATGCAACTTGTCCACAGGCATCCCAGTCGCAAGTGCGCATGCAGGCGAAAGCTTGCCAGAACGAGAGCCGAGGGTTTTTGCACGGAGTATTCTCTGAGCAAATCGAGTTGGCTCACGGGCTCACCGATTCGGGGGGTGAACGGAGCTCATGATGAAGGTTTAAGTTTACTTCTTTCCCGTTTGCGAACTGTACTAGTTTTGCCTGGGTCAACAATCTTTCCAAGCTATTCTGTCACTCAAACATGCACTGTGGCGGCGCTCTGTGCCTATTGTGCCAGAGCTGCGAAGACTGTGCTAAGAGTTTCCGGTAGAGACATCAATGTCTTGTCGTGATTGGCGTCAGATCCCCGCAGAATGGGGACTAATGGCTCCGCATACTTGTCCGCGGAGATTGGCAAAGACGCCACACTGCGAAACACGTTGCGACTCATAATGATGCTCACAGCGGTAGAAAGTTGGCGCGGTCGCCGCAGGTGATTTCTCCGTACGAGTGGATGATCCAGTTACTGCACATGGGCCGCCGGCAGGGAAGGGTCTCAACAAGAACACGGGCACGC